GAAGCCAAGGTGGATGGTTTGCTTGAGGCCAGGAGTTCGAGACCAGCCTGGGCACATGGCAAAACCCCATCTCTACTAAAAATACAAAAATTAGCTGGGAGTGGTGGTAACACGCCTGTAGTTCCAGCTACTTGGGAGGCTGAGGAAGGAGGATCACTTGAACCTGGGAGGTGGAGGTTGCAGTGAGCCAAGATCGAACTGCATTCCAACTGGGTGATGGAGCGAGACTCTGTCACCAAAAAAAAAAAAAAAAAAAAAAAAATTTGACGACTAAAGATTAGCTTTTGAGGACCCTTAGTAAGGTTTGTTCAACCGCAGGCATCACTTTTGAAGACATGGGCCTGTATTTATTTTGTTTCCAAAATTTTAGATTCGGAGCAGTAGAAAATGATCACACACTTCATTTATATATCAGCCTTCAGAGAAGGCATAGTCTCAATACTTGTTGATGACTTCTTGCTGTTGATTCTTTCAAACAGATTTTTTTCTTCTTTAATCCACAGGTTACAGTTCTTATCCGTTGAATACATGGCTCTGTTAATAAAGTAAGATTACAACTTTGAAAATAATGATTTAAAAACAGGCATTTGGGGAGGATGGTTTGAGGCTCTGGCTGGCTCTTTTCTTTCTTTCTTGATTATCTTTGATTTTCTGATAGTTTTCTCTCACAGGTACCTTTGGCATCATCATTTCTGGATGATTCCCATGGAGAGCTGTTCAGCATTTTAGTCAGAAGTGAACTTATCGGGCTGGGCGCACTGGCTCACGCCATAATCCTAGCACCTTGGGAGGCCGAGGTGGGCGGATCAGTTGAGCTCAGGAGTTTGAGACCAGCCTGAGTAACATGGCGACCCCATCTCTACAAAAATAGCAAAATTAGCCAGGCGGGTGTGCACCTGTAGTCTCAGCTACTCAGGAGGCTGAGGCAGGAAGATCACTTGAGCCTGAGGCAGGAGGCTGCAGGAGCTGAGATCTCACCACTGCATGTGCCAGCCTGGGAGACAGGAGTGAGACCCCCGTCTCAAAAAAAAAAAAAAAAAAAAGAAGAAGAAGTGGGTTAACTTAAACAGGGATCATATGGTTCTATAAAACTTGCAAAAAAATAACGATTTTCTCATTCGAATAATATCTATGTTTGTAAAGTGTTCAGCATTTGTAATTTGTGATTTTGTATTCTTTAGTCTTAAAGAGTCACCAAATCTTCAGACTCATCAGAACTTGGATTGCCTTCATCTTAGATCCAGTAGTTTGTGAATTTGAGGAGAAACATAGTAAATTCCAATTCTGTGATCATTGTGTAGAGCTATGATTCAGGCAAAATATAGACAGGACAGGACAACCAGTTAAATTTGAACTTCAGATAAACAACAAATAATTTTTAGGCATAAGTATGTCCTAAACATTGCATGAGATACACTTGCCTGCAATTTTGTATTTTTAGTAGAGATGGTTTTCACCATGTTGCCAGGCTGGTCTTGAACTCCTGACCTCAAGTGATCCACCCACTTCAGCCTCCCAAAGTGCTGGGATTACAGGCGTGAGCCACTGTGCCCGGCTGTGGCAGGTGAATAAGACCTAATTTGTTGATAAACTGTAGACCTTTGTCCATTTTCTGTCCATTTTCTACTTCTATAATTTTGTTTTAACTGAGTCTAGTATCTGATTGTCCCTGGGCTGAATCTGATAACCATTAAGGCAGGGGAGGAACGGTGTCAGCAAATAGAATCATGTTTCAGGATGTAGCTTTGAAGGCAACCATGGAGACTCTTTTACAAATGGGAAGACAAAGGCATAGAGGCCAAAAAATAGATGCATATGAAGTCAATAGATTAAGTCTCTTGATGCATAAAACAATAAAAAGAAATACAGGCTGGGTGCGGTGGCTCATGCCTGTATTCCTGCACTTTGGGAGGCTGAGGGGAGTGGGATTGCCTGAGTCCAGGAGTTCAAGACCAGCCTTAGCAACATGGTAGACCTATCTCTACTTAAAAAAAAATACAAAAAAATAGCCAGATGTGGTGTGATGTGGCCTATACTCCCAGCTACTTGGGAGGCTGAGGCAGAGAATCACTTGAGTTTGGAAGGTTGAGGTTACAGTGAACCGAGATCACACTGCTGCACTCCAGCCAAGGCAATTGAGGAGACCATCTCAAAAAAAAAAAAAGACAGGCTAAAATAATAACAACAGTGATACATAACCATTTGTAAAGTTCCTTGATCGGCCCAACAGCTTGGTTAACTCTCAAAACAGAAAAGTGGAGGTTGTTAATATATTACAATCTCCATTCAGCAGATAAGCACACCAAGCTCAGAGAGGCTTGAAAGATACTCCTGGCTATATAGCTAGGAGGTGGTAGAAAGGAGATTTAAATCTGACTTCAAATTCACACCTTCTTCCCTTCTACCAACTCTTCCCAACTTTAGGTAGGTGGCACACACATGCTACCATGACCTTCTCTCTCAATTTTTCATCAGTTGTGTTCCTTCTGTCCTAAAACGTTACTTAATATTTTCTTTAGGCCAGGCACAGTGGCTCATGCCTGTAATTCAGCATTCCCGGGAGGCCGAGTAGGCGGGTCACCTGCGGTCAGGTTCAAGATCAGCCTGGCCAACGTGGTGAAACCTTGTCTCTACTAAAAATACAAAAATTAGCCAGGCATGGTGGTGGAGGCCTCCCAGCTACTTGGGAGGCTGAGGCAGGGGATTCACTTGAACCCAGGAAGCGGAGGTTGCAGTGAGCCAAGACTGTGCCATTGTACCTCAGGCCTGGGCAACAAGAGCAAACTCTTTATCTCAAAAAATTTTTTTTTCTTTGACTAATTTTTAAAATTTATACTTCATAATAGAAAGTTTTTATTCCATTGCAATCAAAAAGAAAGATCGCTATCATTAAAAAAAAAAAGGTAGCTTTAAACACGTATACAATTAGAAGACTGTGATTCAATTCTGCAGCTTTTTGTTGCGCTCCTGCACATAAAATCAGAAAGACTGACTTTCTCATATGGTGATTAAATATTATCGTTATGGAACATAAACCTCTCAGTCATTTGGGCGCATAACTGGTGCTATGTGTTCCATATTCAAGAAAACACTGTTTTACACCACTCTACTTCTCAGCAGATCCAAGGCTAACATCACTGGAACGGAAATAGACCTGGCAAGCTTGGAGGCATTGGGGTCTTCAGTTTACCAGGCAAAAGAAATGTTTCCTTCCTTCCTTTCCTTCCTTCCTTCCTTCCTTCCTTCCTTCCTTCCTTCTTCCTTCCTTCTCTCTCTCTCTCTCTCTCCTTCCTTTCTTCTTCCTTCCTTCCTTCCCTTCCTTCCTTCCCTCTCTCTCTCTCTCCTTCCTTCCTTCCTTCCTTCCTTCCTTCCTTCCTTCCTCCTTCCTTTCCTTCTTTCTTTCTTTCTTTCTTTCTTTCTTTCTTTCTTTCTTTCTTTCTTTCTTTCTTTCTTTCTTTCTTTCTTTTCTTTCTTTCTCTCCCTCTCTCTCTCCTTCCTTCTTCTTCTTTTCCTTTTTCTTTCTTTCTCACAGAGTCTCCCTTTGTCGCCCAGACTGGAGTGCAGTGGCACAATCTCAGCTCACTGCAACCTCCACCTCCCAGGTTCAAATGATTCTCCCGCCTCAGCCTCCTGAATAGCTGGGACTACAGGCATGCGCAACACTCGGCTAATTTTTGTATTTTTAGTAGAGACCGGTTTTGCCATGTTGGCCAGTCTGGTCTCAAACTCCTGGCCTCCAGTGATCCACCCTCCTTGACCTCCCAAAGTGCTGGGATTACAGACGTGAGCCACCGCACCCGGCCTGCACATCATCCTTGACCAAGGGTTGAATTAACTGAGAAGCAACTGTGTCATAATGGCTAAGAACATGTATTTATAATTACTACTGGCTCAAAAGAAGAATCACATAAATTCAACAAAATAAAAGCCACATACAGCAGACCCACAGCTAGTATCATACTAAATGGGGAAAAACTGAAAGCCTTTCCTCTTACATCTGGAACATGACAAGGATGGCTGCGTTTCACCATTGTTATTCAACATTGTACTGGAAGCCCTAGCTAGAGCAATCAGACAAGCAAAAGAAATAAAGGGCATCCAAATAGGAAAGGAAGAACTCAAATTATCCGTGTTTGCAGATGATATGTTTTTGTTTTGTTTTATTTTGGAGAAAGGTCTTGCTCTATTGCCCAGCGGTGTGATCTTGGCTCACTGCAACCTCCGCCTCCCAGGTTCAAGCAATTCTCATGCCTCAGCCTCCCAAATAGCTGGGATTCCAGGCATGCACCATCCCGCCCAGCTAATTTTTGTATATTTAGTAGAGATAGGGTTTCACCATATTGCCCTGGCTGACCTTGAACTCCTGGCCTCATGTAATCTGCCCACCTCAGCCTCCCAAAGTGCTGGGATTACAGGTGTGAGCCACTACACTTGGCCAATATAATCTTATATTTGGAAAATTCTAAAGACTCCAGCAAAAAACTGTTAGAACTGATATACAAATTCAGTAAAGATGCAAGACCCCTGAGCAACAATAGTGTTCCAGGTTAATTCTTTCTGTTTGTTTGTTTTTGTATTTGAGACAGGGTCTAGCTCTGTCACCTAGGCTGGAGTAATCTTGGCTCACTGCAGCCTCCGCCTCCCAGGCTCAAGCTATCCTCCTATCTCAACCTCTTTAGTAGCTGGGAATACAGGTGCATGCCACCATACCCAGCTAATTGTGTGTGTGTGTGTGTGTTTGTGTGTGTGTGGAGACAGGGTGCCACTCTGTTGCCCAGGCTGGTCTCGAAACTCCTGAGCTCAAGTGATCCACATGCCTCGGCCTCCCAAAGTACTGTTATTACAGGCATAAGCTACCACACCTGGCCAGGTTAATCTTTATATGCTCTCTGCTTATAGAAAGGTCTCAGACACCACTCTGTGTCATGGAAGGAATCTACTCACACTACCATTCTAAACTTTGTCACGTGATTTCAGGTTCATAGGTTCAATGTTAATGTGTTTCCATTTCTATTTCAGTTAATCAGGTGTTGCTGTTCCTTCTGATCGTGACCCTCTGTGTGATTCTGTATAAGAAAGTTCAGAAGGGGACTGTGTCCAAGAATGATGCAGGTGAGCGGACATGGAATTCATTGAGTTGGGACACCCAGGAATGTGGTTTGAATGTGTTCCTCTAGGTCCTTTCAATAGCTGGGTTCAGGGACAAGTGACAGCTTGGTCAACTCCCAAGGACCTGCTAGTAGAATATCTGCCCTAGAACACCTTTTCAGTTGAGACCTAGGATGGTCGGTGCTATTCAAACTTTAGCATGTGTGAGAGTTGCATGGAGAGCTTGTTAAAACACAGCACTGGGCCTGCTTGCGAGGTGTAGGATCAGTAGGTATGGGGTGGGGCCTCAAGATTTGCATTTCCGATAAGCTCCTGGTTGAGGCTGATGCTGTGGGTTCTTGGACCACAGGGTGAGTGCACTACTCCACACCCCATCTCTTTGGAGCTTCTCAATGACTTTGCTTATGGAAACTGCCCTCTCTCTCCTCTCCCTGCTGGTTCATTCCCATCAGTGCAAGTCAGCCTCATAACTCTCAACTTGAAAATGGCCCTTCATTGGCCCTGTGTTCTCTCCCAGCTGTACTGAGAGCCGTGTTTCCCTCCTTGGGGGTGAATTGCCTGAGATGGCACCTTCACAACTCCAATGCACACACAAAGTCAACTTCCATAAAAATCAAGAAGCACTGTTTATTACATTTTTAATTAATTTACTTTTTTTTTTTTTTTTTTTTTTTTTTTTGAGACAGAATCTCACTCTGTTGCCCTGGCTGGAATACAGTGGCACAATAGCAGCTCACTGCAGCCTCGACCTCCAGGGCTCAAGCAATCCTCTGGCCTCAGCACTCCCAGGAAATTGAGACTACAGGAGTGTGCCACCACATCCAGCTAATTTTTTGTATTTTTTGTAGAGATGGGTTTTGCCATGCTGCCCAGGCTGGTTTTGAACTCCTGGGCTCAAGCTGTCCTTCCACCTTGGCCTCCCAAAGTGCTGGGATTACAGGAATGCGCTACCGTGCCCAGCTGATTTACATTTTATATCAATCAAACAAATATACACTTATGGGCTGGCGATGATGGCTCACACTTGTAATCCAGCACTTTGGGAGGCTAAGGCAGGAGGATCACTTGAGTCCAGGTGCTTGAGACCAGCCCAGCCTAGGCAACAAAGCAAGACCCTGTCTGCATGCACACAAAAAATTACCTGGGCGTGGTGGGGCATGCCTGTAGTCTCAGCTACTTGGGAGGCTGGAATGAGAGTATTACTTGAGCCTAGGAGGTCTAAGCAGCAGTGAGCCCTGATAGTGCCACTACACTCCAGCTTGGATGATAGAGTGAGACTCTGAATACAGTTACTTGGTGTGTTACATACATTTATTCCACAGTTTTTTTTTTTTTTTTTCAGCCAGACACTTAGGGACTGGAAACACAGCAGTGAACAAAACAACATCCCTATTCCCAGGAAGCTGGCATTTCTTTCTGATTATATTTTGTAATTTAAAAATTCATTTAAAAATAATTAAAAACATGTATAATCTAATCTAAATGAAAATAGAATCTGCAAAGAGAATGATTTTCACACAAAGACATATATACAGAAGCTCTTAGGGCATAATTCATAGTAGCCCCAAACTGGAAACAATTCACATGTACATCAACTAGTGAGGAATGCAAAAAATGTAATTCATCCCACACAATGAAATACTTTTCGGCAGTAAAAAGAACAAATGACTGATACAAGCTGCAATATGGATAAACCTGAAAAAAAATTATGCTAAATAAAAGAAGTCAGACCCAAAAGACCATATATTGTATGAGTCCATCTGTATGAAATTTCTAGAAAGGGAAAATCTATGGAGACACAGAGCAGATCAGTGGTTGCCTAGAGCGGGAGTGGGAATGGATTGACTGCAGACCAGCCAGCTCAATGGAACTTTTTAAAGCTAGATCGTGGTGATGGTTGTGCAATAAATTTACTAAATACTATTGAACTGTACACTTACAATGGGTAAATTGAAAAAATATCTGTATTCATTTGCTTGGGCTGCCATAACAAAATAGCACAGACTAGGTGGCTAGACCATAGACACGTATTTTCTCTGGTTCTGGAGGCTGGAAGTCCAGGATCAAGGAGCGAGCTGGTTTGGTTTCTCCTGAAGTCTCTCTCCTTGGCATGCAGATGGCCGCCTTCTTACTGTGTCCTCACGTGGCCTTTTCTCTGTGCTGCACTCCTGGTTGTGACCCTCTGCGTGATTCTCCTCTTTTCCTCCTCTTATCAAGACACCAGTCTTACTGGGATAAGGCCTACCAAATGGCTTCATTTTAACTTAATTGCCTCTTTGAAGGCTCTGTCTCCAAGTGCGCTGACATCCTGAGATGCTGGGAGCTAAGACGTTAACTAATGGACTCTGGAGGACACAATTCAGTCCATAGCAGTATGTACACCTCAATAAGCTGTTCTAAAAGAGAGAGAGAGAAGGAAGTCACGTAAAGACAAATGTCGTCTGAACTGACTCCACTCTTCACGCTTCAATCCCTGCTCATAAACCAACACATTCGCTCAGCTAATCCCACCACAGACTCCCTTCTTCAGAGAAGGAAGTGGATAGGGTTTAAAACAGTTGTTAAAACAGCTCTAAAGAAATGCACATCCTGACTGAGTAATCAGACCTATACAGAGAAACAAAGCATTTGGACCACATGAATGGATCTGTTATCACATGTTTATCCATTCCGTGTTAAAATTTTTTAAAAAATCAGTGTTATAAAATACCATTCAAATGAATGTAGTGTTGGTATGGAAGAATGCTTGTGGTATGTTAAGTGGGAAAAGGAAGTTGCAGAAGAGACTGAAAAGTATGATTCCATTTTGGCTTTTAAATAGTAAGTGTTTAAGGTATATATTCTTTTTTTTTTTTTTTTTTTGAGACAGAGTTTCACTCTTGTTGCCCAGGCTGGAGTGTAATGGTGCCATCTCGGCTCACCACAACCTCCGCCTCCAGGTTCAAGCGATTCTCCTGCCTCAGCCTCCCAAGTAGCTGGGATTACAGGTATGCGCCACCATGCCTGGCTAATTTTGTATTTTTAGGAGAGACGGGGTTTCTCCATGTTGGTCAGGCTGGTCTCAAATGCCTGACCTCAGATGATCTTCCCACCTCAGCCTCCCAAAGTGCTGGGATTGCAGGTGTGAGCCACTGCGCCTGGCCCAGGTATATATGCTTTAGTATTACCATGAAGAAGGGTTTAGGGGGCACACACCACACTGGTTGTGTTATATATTGTTATAAAGCAGAGGTCTACTTTCGGAGTGGGAGTGAGAGGTCTGCAGAAAACAGTCACAATTTACCAAATACTCTTCTCTTTGGGCTGAATTTTTTTCAATAATTGCATATTGTTTTTTATAATTTAAAAAACATTAATTCAAAGAACTAGTGTTCTAAGTTCATGTCCAGAGGTCCTGTGAAGTCCTATGTTCAAGTAAAACATGGCGGCATTCTCTGTAATATCTCCATTGTGACATTGCATGTAATCTCCCAGTACTTTTCTTGTGATTAGTGTGCTGGTCACTCACAGCTGTCCCACTTGGGGAGAGGTAAGCTGATACACTTGGCTAAAACAATCCTTATTTGAAATGAATTCTGAGTCATGGCATTAGGAGAGCAGACATTTCCTTTCTTCTAGGAATAGGCGTGGCTTGATCAGAGCTGCTTATGGAAAGGACAAAGGCAGTATCATTTCTATTCCATTCTGCCAGCATTGTGATGTTTACTATTTTTGTTAGGCACCAAATGGTTTCCCATAGCCAACCTTTTAATGCTTTGGCTCAGGCGCCAGTTGGTACAATGAATCCGAATAGTGGAGCGGATAATTCCTAAAGAAACTGCAAGGATGGAGCATTGATGAAGAAGGTACAGTTGATAAGCCTTTCCGCCACATTTCTCCAGTGTGCGTTTGTTCTTCTTTCTGTCCAGGGGAAACTTTTTGGCAGAGAACAGCATTTTTGGCTTAGGTTAGTGCTCAGTTTCTCTACCTGGCAGAGGCCCCTAAGAAGCGTGGCAGTGTCATGTGTTGGCAGCAGAGCTGGACACTCAATGTTTGACCTTCTTCTGGAGCGTCCCCTCTTTTATGAGGACACTTTCCTTTTACCTTGTGCTTCCCACTGTCTGATGAAGGCCTCTGCCTGAGTCTGGCAGCCAGGCACAGCCCCAGCTTTTTGACCCTTCCCTCTTATTCCTCAAGGGCCCTGTTTTCTGAAGCTCATTCATCAGTTCCATTTAGTTCATTCCAACAAACTTTCATTAAGCACTTCCAAAGTGCCAGACTCAGTGGGGATAGTATAATGAACTTATAGTCTAGTGGAGGAGACAGACACATAAATAGATTCTTCCAGTGCATTGTGGCAAATGCTCAAATAGAGATATCTAATATTCACCCATCTGTTCAGATTGTATTGAAAATCTACTATGTGCCAGGCACTAGGACAGCTGCAGAGGATACAGAGATGAACAAGATACCCGCCCTCACAGAGTTCTTAGTATAATAGGAGAAAGAGGGAAGACATGCAACCAAATAAATTCCAATGCAATTAATAAATTCAACCATAGGCAAGGCCACAGCATAGAGAAGATGTGTGTTAATTTGTGTAGGGAGCTGTTAAAGGCTTCCCAGAGGATCTGATGTTGATACTGCATTTGGAATGACTATGTAAGGGTTAGCCATGCAGAAAAGGATATTGAAAGCATTCCAGGCATTGGGAACATCATGTGCAAAGGCACTAAGATAAGAGTAGTATTCAGGGAACCACAAGGAGTTTGATGTTGCTAAAATAGAAGGAGGTGAGGCTGGAGAAGTGAGCAGGGGCTAGATCATGAGGGGCCTTGTGTGCCAGGCGAAGAAATGTGGCTTTACCTTTTAGGAACCAATGAGGAACTTTCCAGCAATGAAGAAACATAGACAAATTCGCATTTTTGGCCGATCACTTCACGGGCAGCAGGTAACATGTCACATGATACCTCCATAAGATTATAACTTAGTCCAAAAGGAATAATCCTTAAGAAACTTTTTTTGGGGTTTGTTTATAAAAATAACTCATGGTTTGTATTAGTCTGTTTTCATGCTGCTGATAAAGACATACCTAAGACTGAGGGAAAAAAGAGGTTTAACCGGACTTTCAGTTCCACATGACTGGGGAGGCTTCAGAATCACGTGGAAGGCAAAAGGCACTTCTTATATGGCAGCAGCAAAAGAAAATGAGAGATGCAAAAGTGGAAATCCCCGGTAAAACCATGAGATCTCATGAGATTTATTCACTACCATGAGAACAGTATGGGAGAAATCACCCCCATGATTCACATTATCTCCCACTGGGTCCCTCCCACAACATGTGGGAAATATGGTAGTACAATTCAAGATGAGATTTGGGTGGGGACACAGAGCCAAACCATATCATTCCGCCCCTGGTCCCTCAAAATCTCATGTCCTCACATTTCAAAACCAATCATGCCTTCCTAACAGTCCCCCAAAGTCTTAACTCATTTCAGCATTAACCCAAAAGTCCACAATCCAAAGTCTCATCTGAGACAAGTTTCTTCTGCCTATGAGCCTGTAAAATCAAAAGCAAGCTGGTTACTTCCTCTTCCTAGATACAATTGGGGTACAGGTATTTGGTAAATACAGCCATTCCAAATGGGAAAAATTGGCCAAAACAAAGGGGTTACAGGCCCCATGCTTGTACAAAATCCAGCAGGGCAGTCAAATTTTAAAGCCCCAAAATGATCTCCTTTGGCTCTAGGTCTCACATCCAGGTCATGCTGAAGCAAGAGGTGGGTTCCCATGGTCTTGGGCAGCTCTACCCTGTGGCTTTGCAGGATACAGCCTCCCTCCCAGCTGATCTCACAGGCTGGCATTGAGTATCTGTAGCTTTTCCAGCAACAGTGCAAGCTGTCAGTGGATCTCCCATTCTGGGATCTGGAGGATGGTGGCCCTCTTCTCACAGCTCCACTAGGCAGTGCCCCAGTAGGGACTCTGTGTGGGGGCTCTTACCCCACATTTCCTCTGCACTACCCTAGCAGAGGTTCTCCATGAGGCCCCCGCCCCTGCAGCAAACTTCTGCCTGGGCATCCAGACATTTCCATACATCTTCTGAAATGTAGGTGGAGGTTCCCAAACCCCATTTTTTTACTTCTGTGCACTCAGAGGCTCAACACCATGTGGAAGCTGCCGACGCTTGGGGCTTGCACCTTCTGAAGCCACAGCCCAAGTTCTATGTTGGCCCCTTTCAGCCATGGCTGGAGTGACTGGGTCGCAGGGCACCAAGTCCCTAAGCTGCATATAGCACAGGACCCTGGGCCCAGCCCACAAAGCCATTTTCTCCTAGGCCTCTGGACCTGTGATGGGAGGGGCAGCTGTGAAGACCTCTGACAAGCCCTGGAGACATTTTCCCCATTGTCTTGGGGATTAACATTTTCCTCCTTGTTACTTACGCAAATTTCTGCAGCCAGCTTGAATTTCTCCTTAAAAAATGTTTTTTGGTTTTTTTTTCTATCACATTGTCAGGCTGCAATTTTTCTGAACTTTTATGCTCTACTTCCTTTATAAAACTAGAATGCCTTTAACAGCATCCAAGCCACCTCTTGAATGCTTTGCTGCTTAGAAATTTCTTCCACCAGATATCCTAAATTATCTCTCTCAAGTTCAAAGTTCCACAAATCTCTAGAGCAGGGGCAGAATCCCCCTGGTCTCTTTGCTAAAATATGACAAAAGTCACCTTTGCTTCAGTTCCCAACAAGTTTCTCATCTACATCTGTGACCACCTCACCCTGGACCTTATTGTCCATGTCTCTAACTGGCTTTTGGTCAAGGCCATTCAACAAGTCTCTAGGAAGTTCCAAGCTTTCCTACATTTTCCTGTCTTCTTCTGACCCCTCCAAACTGTTCCAACCTCTGTTTGTCACCCAATTCCAAAGTTGCTTCCATATTTGTTGATATCTTTTCAGCAACGTCCCACTCTACAGGCACCAATTTACTGTATTAGTCCATTTTCATGCTGCTGATAAAGACATACCTGAGACTGAGAAGAAAAAGTTTTAATTGGACTTACAGTGCCACATGACTGGAGAGGCCTCAGAATCATGGCAGGAGGCGAAAGGCACTTCTAACATGGCAGCAGCAAGAGAAAGTGAGAGATGCAAAAGCAGAAATCACTGATAAAACTATCAGATCTCATAATACTTACTCACTACCATGAGAACAGTATGGGGAAAACCACCCCCATGATTCACATTATCTCCCACTTGGTCCCTCCCACAACATGTGGGAATTATGGGGGTACAATTCAAGATGAGATCTGGGTGAGGACACAGAGCTGTACCATATCATGGTTACTTTAGTCACTTTGGAAAGTATAAGAAATATAAATAAAATCAAAATCACTCCTAACTCCATAAATAGACATAGGTCCATTTGCAAATATGTACGTATCAAATTGTGATCAAATACTAGAGAGAATTTTGTATTTTCCTCCTTAACAGTGTTTTATGAGCATTCTCTCATGTCAGTATATATATTGTGAAAACAAAATTATTCTAGTGGTAGAAATTTCAGATGCAGTAGTTAGCTGGTAGAAAAGATGTAGAAGGAGAAAGAGGAGGCCATTCAACGTGTCTTAAATTACACAAAACACAGCACCTGGTAGTTAGTTTCTTTTTTTTTTTTTTTTTTTTTTTTGAGATGGAGTCTTGCTCTGTCGCCCGGGCTGGAGTGCAGTGGCCGGATCTCAGCTCACTGCAAGCTCTGCTTCCTGGGTTTACGCCATTCTCCTGCCTCAGCCTCCCAAGTAGCTGGGACTACAGGCGCCCACCACCTCGCCCAGCTAGTTTTTTGTATTTTTTAGTAGAGACGGGGTTTCACCGTGTTAGCCAGGATGGTCTCGATCTCCTGACCTCGTGATCCGCCCGTCTCGGCCTCCCAAAGTGCTGGGATTACAGGCTTGAGCCACCGCGCCCGGCCTAGTTAGTTTCAAGAAATGTTTATTGAATGAAATATCAGCTAGAACTACCCTGGACCTCAGGGATAGAGGTTTTCCAAAAAGGATCTGGAACGAGAAGGGGCAGGGGGAGAAAGGGGGTGGAGAGAGAGAGAGACACACACACACATAGAGAGAGAGAGAGAGAGAGAGAGACAGCTTTAAGTAAAAATCAGATGAATACTTTATAGTGGATACTGGATACTCTACTTATGGATCATTATTCTTCTCCATGGCTGAAAGTTGTATTGTGACACTAAAGTATGATGTTATGGCTTTGGTATTTTATAGCATAGCCAGGCTCAAAAGAAAAATTATTTATCTTGTGCATTAGTCATGCTCTTTCCTTTACCTCCTTCCTCTTGCTGTCAACATTTGAGAAACTCGACTAGAGTGGGGATAGGAGAGGGAAAATTACAACGAGTATCTTATAGCAGTGTAGGCAAAGTGAATATTCTGATTCAGGGAAGAGCTGAGGACTGTTGGACAAATGAGGCTTTTCAGTTCTTTGTATGTTTTTTAACTGTGTGTGTGTTTTAGGCTAGCCAACTGACTCCTGTAAGATAGCTCCAAAATATAGATTTTGTGTTATGATCAAAAGGGCTCGCTGTCTGATGTGCTAGAATCCAACACTATGACCCCGGGTTCTGAGAAAAGCAAAGCTTTTTCTTGTAAATCGACTGACAAGGAGACAGGAGCTTTTAAGACAGTAATTTTATTAGAAAAGGCTCAGGGGTGGATTCTGGGATTAGTAGGTGATTGATGGAAGGGAAGAGGAGGTCTAAAAAGTCCTGGGGCATGCACAGTTATCTCTTCATGCTACCTCATGGGTCTCATGTGCAAATCTGGGAGGAGTTAGTATGAAACACGGGGCGGAAATCCAAGCTGTGACATCAGCAAGCTTGTTCTGAACAAACTTCAGTTGACCAGATTGGCTCCAACTGATTTCAGCCCGTTTCTTAATCTCAGAAGGAGAGAGAGTTTCATCATTTCAGCAATTTTTTTTGTTCTAATCTATCATTCTGCAAACTCAAGAATTTTTATTAGTCATTGGTTTCTTTAACTCTTTGGAAGTATGGTTTCAATAGTGACATAAACAAAATAGAAGTTTATTTCTTCTCTCAAGTATAAGTCTGATGTATCAGTTCCACAATTATCCAGCTCAAGATCTCGTCTATATTATAGTTTTGGTGACCTCAACAAGTAGCTTCCATCTTGTGGTCTAAGCTGGCTACTCTAACTCCTGCTGTCATATAAACAGTCCAGCCAATGGGAAAGGGGAAAGGCAAGGGGGTAGGTGAGCATTCCTTTGAAGGGTAGACCCAGCAGTGGCACACATTACTAGCATCCCATTGGTCAGAACTCAATCATACAGAGCTGCACGGGAGTCTGATAAACCAGTCTTCGTGGCTATGTGCCAGCTAAAATTCCAAAGTTCTTTTCTAAGGGAAGACAGAACGACTAGATATTGGAGAACAATCAGCAGCCTCTTCCACACTATGCCATCTTCCCGCAGGAGTGTGGAAGATGCATTAAACTGGCTCTACTGTGAAATTCTTTCATGTTCCAAGGCACCAATTTTGATGTTTCCAGATGATGAATCCGAGACTCCTGAAGAACTGGAAGAAGAGATTCCTGTGGTGATTTGTGCTGCAGCAGGGAGGATGGGTGCCACTATGGCTGCCATTAATAGCATCTACAGCAACACTGACGCCAACATCTTGTTCTATGTAGTGGGACTCCGGAATACTCTGACTCGAATACGGTAAATTGTGTCTTGCAGACTTTGGCACTTTCTATTTCCTTTCCCTCCCTCCCTCCCCCCACTCCCTCCCTCCCTCCCTCTTCTTCTTCATCTTTCTGTCTTTCCTTCCTTCCTTCCTTCCTTTTTCTTTCTTTCTTTCTTTCTTTCTTTCTTTCTTTCTTTCTTTCTTTCTTTCTTTCTTTCTTTCTTTCTTTCTTTCTTTTTCTTTCTTTTTTTCTTTCCTTCCTTCCTTCTTTCTTTCTTTCCCTCCCTCCCTCCCTCCCTCCCTTCCTTCCTTCCTTCCTTCCTTCCTTCTCTCTCTCTCTCTCTTTCTTTCCTTCTTTCTTTTTCTCTCTCTTTCTTTCTTTTTTATCTTTCCTTCCTTCCTTCCTTTCCTCCTTTCCTTTCCTTTCCCTTTCCCTTTTCTTTTTCTTTTCTTTTCCTTTCTTTTCTTTTCTTTTCTTTCTTACAGGATCTTGCTGTGTTGCCCAGACTGTAGTGTGGAGTGGTGCAATCACAGCTCACTGCAGCCTTGACCTCCCTGGCTCAAGCAGTCCTCCTGTTTCCACCTCCAAGTAGCTGGGACTACAGGTGCATGCTACCACACCCAGCTTATTTTTTAATTTTTTGTGGAGAGCTTTGTTGCCTAGGTTGGTCTTGAAATCCTGGGTTCAAGCAATCCTCCCTCCTCATACTCCCAAAATGCTGGGATTACAGGTGTGAACCACTACACCTGGCCTCTACTTTCTTATATTTCCTTAAATAGATTTCCTTTATTTTTGGATTAAGAAGAAATAAACAGAAAATTAAAATTTGAACATATTATAAAAATGAAAGATAATTATAAAATTTTGGTATGGAGTGTGTCTCTCTGAGCCCAGAAATCATCAAGAAAAGTGCACAGATTTGACTGCATAACATTGAAAAACTTTACAATGATGAAAAATACAAGTGAAGCTATTCATACAATAGATTAGGACAAAATATATATATTTTTTTTCTGAGAAGGAGTCTTGCTCAGTCACCCAGGCTGGAGTGCAGTGGCGTGATCTCACTGCAAGCTCCGCCTCCTGGGTCACACCATTCTCCTGCCTCAGCCTCCCAAGTAGCTGGGACTACAGGTGCGCCCGCCACTATACCCGGCCAACTTTTTTTGTATTTTTGGTAGAGACGGGGTTCCACCATGTTGGCCAGGATGGTCTCGATCTCCTGACCTCGTGATCCACCCGCCTCGGCCTCCCAAAGTGCTAGGATTACAGACGTGAGCCACCGCTCCTGACCAGGACAAAGTATTTTTAACATCTATTATAGACAAAGAATTACTATCCAAAATACAGAATTGTTACAAAAATTTTAAAAACACAAACATTTTAAAAACATAGTTAAAAAATGGGCATAGAATATAACCAGACAATTCACAGAGGAAAAACATACAAATGGCCAAAAACCTGAAAAGGTATTGTAGGCTGGGTGAGATGACTCACTCCTATATTTCCAATACTTTGGGAGGCCAAGGAAAAAGGACGACTTGGGGTCAGGCTCGAGAGCAGCCTGGGCAACATAGCAAGACCTCTGTCTCTACCAAGAATTTTAGAAATTAGCTGAGGGTGGTTATATGTAGCTTCATGGGAGGCTGAGGTGGGAGGATCCCTGGAGCTCAGGAGTTTGAGGCTGCTGTGAGATAAGATTGCACCACTTAACTCCAGCCTGGCCAACAGAGTGAGACCTTGTTTCAGCTAAAAATAAATAAATGAGTCTAGGCGCAGTGGCTCACTCCTGTAATCCTAGTACTTTGGGAGGCCAAGGCGGGCAGATCACCTGAGGTCAAGAATTTGAGACTAGCTGGGCCAACATGGCGAAACCCCGTGTCTATTAAAAATACAAAAATTTGCTGGACATGTTGGCACTTGCCTGTAATCCCAGCTACTGGGGAGGCTGAGGCCAGAGAATGGCTTAAATCCAGGAGGTGGAGGTTGCAGTGAGCTGAGATCACTGAACTCAGTTGAGATCAGCTGAGCCACTGCACTCCAGCCTGGGTGACAGAGTGAGACTGCATCTCCAAAAATAAAAAATAATAAATAAAGTTTTTCTATGTTATTAATAGGAAAATGTGAATTGAAACATTTTTGCATTGTTGAAAATGAAAATAAAAATGAAAACATATATGTCACTTCAGTGACATAATTCTTCACTCATCAAGTTGGCAAAAATTAAACAGAACAACATTACCCAATGCAGGCAAATGGACCTGCTTATTCCTTATTTACACAATGTGCATTTTCTAAGTTGGTAAAGCATTTGGCAAGGTCAACATGGCAATATCTATCAAAAGGTTGTATGCATATATAATTTGACTCACATGCCATTTCCTCTTCCAGGAATCTGTACTACAAAAATTCTAGCACATATTACCAAAATGTGTGTACAACAATGCTAGTTTCAGCATTATGTAAACTAGTGAAAACATTTCAAAGTGCTGAAATGTCCACCAATGGAAGAATATTTAAATGAACTGTGAAATATGATCCAGATGTTAAAGAAAGAAGGCACTCTGTCTAAACAGACATAGGAGATTCCCAAGGCATATTGTTAAGTGGAAAAAGCTAGTTGCAGTATAACTCGTATAGTATGATCTACTTTATGAAATTCAAAACCCCTAACTATAAGTGTGTACATGAACATGTATGTGTTTCTGTGAAGAAAAAGAACTGGAAAGCTATCAAATTGTTAACACTGACTATCTCTTGGGAGGACAGAGGAATCGGGGAGGGTGCTGATGAAGGGAAATTCAGGGTGTTTCAGTATTATTTGATCATTCAAAAGGAGAATATATTTACACACTGCTTTTATAATTAAATGTTTTTGTAGTGGTGCCATCAGGAGGTACTGAGATCTGTAAGGTGTTTTTGTGTAATCTAAATGGCCCTTGGCTGCCCTGGGTTTTGATGTCTTGTGTATGCTTTCTGGTTTTCTGTCTCATTTCTCACTCTCCTTATCATACTATTGCTCATCATTCACTTAGCCTGTTGTTAACAGTCCATTAACTGTCCATGGGTATGAAAACTAGATAACTAAATCCAAAAGGATGGCATGTATAAGGTTTCTGGGGAAGGGTTTGTCCTTAGCAAAAGGCATGAGCCTCATGACTTTCTCACTTTGGCCAGGGGCTGTTTCCCAGTTCTTGCTGTCCAGTCTACTCCCTGCCCCCTTTTACATATTTTAAAGTTTTTTTCATTGAAGTAGAATCCCAAAACAGAAAATTGCATAAATCCAGTGTGCAGTTTACTGGATCATCACAAAGTAAACACACTCATGTAACATCCAGCATGTTCTCACTAACAGTATAATCAGTCTTTTTAAGTTTGCCATTTTGATTAGTGTCCAGTGCTATCTAGAAATTTGAGGTTTCCTTATTTCTAATGTCATTGAACACTTTTCCCACACACTTTGTAACCATTTGGAAGTAAGTGTTCAGGTCTCTTGCCTATTTTTCTGTTAGTCTATCTTTTTTTAATTGATATGACCAATTATTTTTTCAGATTTTGCAGATCTAAATTTTGTTCACATTTAATTCTTTTGTTGATTTTTAGTCAACAACAAATACTACCCTAGGTGACTTTAGTCATGGGACATTTTATTTTGAGATTATTTCTACCAAGAATCTCATTATGAATTAGATACAAGACAAAAATTCTGCAAGACCAAGAAAACAGAAGGGGAGAGGGAGGGGGAGGAGATGGGGAATGAAGACAGATGGGGAAGATCAAGGGACCAAATCAAAGAGACAAAGGTAAATTCAAATCAGCCTTGGAGTCGAAACCACAGAGTAAAAATGACTTCGATCAAATTTGAGGGTTCAGAATGTCCTGTTTCATAACATTTCAGAGCTGTTACCACATGGCGAAGACAGTACCAGCAATCACAGATGCTGCTTTATAAGAAAGAACACTTTTCATTCTTCCTGTTTCCTGGGGAAATTATTTGGATCTGGGGAGAGATTTGGTTATTACTATTTTGCTTCATTTCCTTTGCAGAAAGAGTTACGTGATTGAGGGGAAAAAAAGATTTAAAGTCACACCAGATGGGGAGAAAGGTCAGAAGGATTTATTGGACTAAACTCTACTAAATTTACACACATTTTAATTTTAACTTTCTAGGGAGGTAACAGATTGACTCTGGGGCAATAGGCAAACGGAGGAAAGAATTGAAGGATATACTAGAGGTTTTTTGGTCATCTTTTTAGAAAATGGATTGAACATTCCAAACTGAGAGAAATAAACTTTAAAATCGTGGAATTCAACCCGATGGTCCTCAAAGGGAAGATCAGACCAGACTCATCGAGGCCTGAATTGCTCCAGCCCGTAAGTAGGGAGCACAAAGGTGCTGCGGACAGTCCTTGGTGAGACCTATGTTGAGTAAAGGAGTGCTAGTCACCGGGATGCAAGTGGAATATTATTTTTGAAGCCTTGTGGTGTTGATCTCCACCAAACTCTGCTTATGTGTAATTTATAAGCCAGCTGCTACAGAAAGGATTTTAGATGGTTTATAGAAGCACAATGAAGTTTATTAAAGAAGAAGTGAAGCATTAAAAAAAATGTAGAATGCATTTACGGGTGTGAATATGTCTGTGGGGGTGGGAGCTGGAGAAGGGCCAGGTAGCTGAGGCCAGGAAAAAGTATCCCAAACCCACCGGCTGTTGCAATATTTAACTGTGATTGTACGTTAAATCTGCCTCTGAGTGTCCGATAGTTAAGAAAAAACAGTAGCCTGATGGATTATATACTTCCTAGTATTGACTAAGATAATATATTCAGGAGACACCAACTCTTTTCCTAGCGTTGGGAATCTTAAGGTATTTTACTGCAAGAGTTCTTACCAAAGGGACCCTCTCCTGCATAACAAGTGGTGTTTTTGGCTGGATGCGCTGGCTCGTGCTTGTAATCCCAGCACTTTGGGAGGCTGAGCGGGAAGGATTGCTTGAGCTCAGGAGTTTGAGACCAGCTTGGGCAACATATTGAGACCCCATTTATACTTTAAAAGTTTTATTTAGTGACCAAGCGTGGTTGCTCATGCCTGTAATCCCAACACTTTGGGAAGCTGAGGCAGGCGGATCACGAGGTCAGGAGTTCGAGACCAGCCTGGCCAACATAGTGAAACCCTGTCTCTACTAAAAATACAAAAATTAGCTGGGTGTGGTGGCAAGAACCTGTAGTCACAGCTACTCAGGAGGCTGAGGCAGGAAAATTGCTTGAACCCGGGAGGCAGAGGTCACAGTGAGCTGAGATCATGCCACTGTACTCCAGCCTAGGTGACAGAGTGAGACTCTGTCTCAAAAAAATATATTTTTTAAAATTAGCTAGGCATGATGGCACACCCCTGTAGTCCTAGCTACCTACTCAGGAGGCTGAGGTGGGAGGATTGTTTGAGCCTGGGAGTTTGAGGCTGTAGTGAGCTGTGATCATGCCACTGCACTTCAGCCTGGGCAACAGAGTGAGACCCTGTCTCAAAAAAGAAAAAAAGACAATAGTGGTGTTTTTGATAGCAGTTTTACAGAAACTGCAGCCACCTTTTACATATGATTGTTACTTAAATTCATCCCTGAAAATTTACTTAATTCTGAGACCTCTGTCCATGTGGTCTCTCCCCAGTTCCAGGTATTGTCAGAGTACAAGCTAAGACTTCAGATTAAGCAATGTTGTCAGTAATGAAACTTCGAAGTTCCTACACACAGGTCATACTGCTCCTTTTTCTGGTTCAAGGAGCTAAAAGGTTGAGCTTGCTGTTGGGATGGCACGTGTGTGTATGTGTGTGTGTGTGTGTGTGTGTGTGTATTTAAGGTTGATTTAATTGACAATTATCAACATTACTGCCTGTAGAGAAAGGCAGGTGATTTGTGCCGTAAAAGATTGACTAAGGAGCCTCTGTGACTCCCACTGCAGCGGTTCACAGAGATGAAAGTGGCAACAGCCTCGGCACTAGGGGGTTTGGATCTAGCAGAACAGCTGATCCGCCAGCGCTGGCTTCAGCCCCAGGCCTCAGATAAGTTGGGCATTGGGAAGCTCAGATGAGACATCTTGCTAGCTCCTGTTTCATTCTGCTCCAAACCTGGAGCTAAGCGGAGGCCATGGTCAAAGCCGACTCTCCAGTACCCCCAGAAGACACTAAGCCATATGCCTCTCCCCCACCATCATTTCTTTTGTTGTTTTAACAGCTGAACTTTGTTCGATTTTATCTCCCTCTACTTATCCACCAACATGAGAAAGTCATCTATTTGGACGATGATGTAATTGTACAAGGTACTCTCGCTAACTGCCAAGAACACTTGGAAAAGAAGCAGCTGATAAGTAGAATAACTGTCTCTCTTCATTTTTCAAATAGCTAATGCTCAGTGAGTTTTGACTGCTTATTTAAGTTGTGAGTACAGTATTGTTGTAAATGTGGAAGTATTTTGGAAACGGGTTGATACTTACCGAGACAATCCAGTTTGACTCTGATTGTCAAAACCTGCAATAAATAGCTTGGTAGCCTTTCCTTTCCCTATATCCCTATAATGTATGGAAATGAAGCGTCACAGATGACAGTCTTAGGAGTGAGCTAAGTTTTGGTGTTTAAATGTTGTGTTCTGTCTCTTCCACTACAAACAGGATACGCATTGGTGTGGTACCTACTGAGCAACAGAAATAAAGAAATTAGATCAGTGCCAATTTGAGCTCATCATTAAGTGGCTTTCTAAATCTGTAGGCACGACTCTTACTAAATAAATTGTCAAGCCACTTGAAATCAGGGATCCAATACTCTTCTCCCATAGCAAAATCAAGAACTGTTTAAGCTCTAAGGCTCTATCTAGCCCGAAAACAAATGCTATAATGTTTTAATTGCTGGTGTTTCTAAATTCAGGTGATATCCAAGAACTTTATGACACCACCTTGGCCCTGGGCCATGCAGCGGCTTTTTCAGATGACTGCGATTTGCCCTCTGCTCAGGATATAAACAGACTCGTGGGACTTCAGGTGGGCATATGCTGTCTCGGAAGTCCTCCCTTCACCCTACAACTCTGGCCCCTTCTCCCCGCTCTGCAACTCAAAATGAGTGTAACCTCCACCTTGAAATCCTCATGGGCCAGTCTGGACTGCTGGGCGGCGGAACAGTACAGGGGTCTGGGACTTTGGTTCATATCTCAGCTCCATGCCTTACCAACTCTGAGATGACTTACTTTAACCCTGCAAAGTCCCACCTTCCTTACCTGAAATATGGGAACAATCATGTCTACTTTGTTGTGTCTTTGTGGGCAATAATGAAATAACATGATGCCCAAGTGTCCAGCATGAAATAAAAGCTCCAGAAATGATCATTGTTACCTAGGTGGCTCATCACCATGCTCTCTGTCAGAGATGATGTTTTCTGTTAAAGAGACTTGCTGAACCATTGGTTCTATTTTCAGAGTTTTGACCATCGCTTTTAGCCCCCTTCCAGTAGAAGAAAATATTGATTTTGTTAAGGGTAAAGATCTCCTTACTCTGATGGAACTGAGGAAAGTTGAACCTACATGCAATGCTGAAACTAAAGGGGTAGCTTTGAAATAAGAGGTGTTATTAAGAGTTGAATGCTGTTTTTCAAAAAAGCTTCTAGCAAATCATTTTATGTGTGTGGCATTTTAAGGCACTTCAAAGCATAGGCTCTGCGACCAGATTCAATTTTGTCAAAATCTTGGGACTATCACTTGGTAGTTTTATGACCTCAGGCAATTTACTTAGCCAGTTGTTTCTACCTCATCTGTCAAACAGAAGTAATAATAGTACTTCCCTTGTAGTTATTGTGAGAATTAAATTAGTTAATACATACAAAGCTATTACATGAGAGTAATGAGGTAGTACATGTAAAGTTCTTAGAAAAGGACCTGGTGCATAGAAAGTACTCAAGTATTTCCATGACTCCTGTGTGAGGTTTGAGAGCATCACATTAAGGAATTATAGATTATGACAGTCTAGATGGGTGAAAGAATGTGTATGTCTTGCCCCATACTACATTCATTCAACAACTACTTATTGAGTGCTTACTCTGTGCCTGACACTGTTTTAGGTGCTAGTAATACAGTGAGCAAAATGAAAACTCTTGCTTTTGTGTATTTCACATTCTAGTGGGAACAGACAGACAGTAAACAAATAAAATAACAGAGGACTCGGGTGGAGGCAGGGCTGTATTTTAAATACGGTAATCAGGGAAGGCTCCACTGAGATTGTGCTGTATGAATCTAAACTTGAAGGAATCGAGGGAACCACTTGTGCAGGTGGTTAGCGGGGAAACCCTCCAGGAAGCGGGAAGAAGTGTAAAGATATTGAGGCAGGGGTGAGTCTGGTTCATTAAAGGTGGTCACTGTTGCTGAGGGATCAAGAGGAGAATAGCAGGAGTTGGAGAGGTATTGGAGGGTCAGATGATATAGGGTATGGCAGGCCATTTTAGGAACTCTGGCTGTTTCTGTGAATGAGATGGGAAGCTATTGGAGGAGCTTAGAGGAGATGAGTGACCTAGAGACAGAGTGGGGTGGAAAACAGTGGAAGCAAGGATACTGGTTAGGAGGAACTTGCAGAAATCCAGTGAGTGACAACTATGGCCTGAACAGGAAGGTAGCAGTAGTGGCAAGAGAAGTGGTTGGCTTCTGGCATTTTGAAGATGGGACCAACAGGATTTGCTGAAAGATTTGGATGAGAAGAGAGTGACAAAAAAGGAGTCAAGGAGGACCTAATGACCCCGGGTTTTTTTGCCCAAGTAACTAGAAGGATAGAGTTGCCATTGACTGAGGTGGGGCAGATGCAGGGAAGCAAGTTTGGGATAGGATTGGGGTCAATTTTGGGATGTAAGTTAGAGCTGCCTTACTAAGCATCTGAAAGGAGACATTTGGATGGCAGTTGTAGCAGGAGTTGGAAGTCCAGAGGAGAGGTCAGGGCTGTCAGATGGGTGATATTTAGAGCCATGAGACTGGACAAGGCTGTTTATGGAGTTGTTGCTAGAGAAAGGCACTAATGCTGCACTCAGACCTAGGGCATTCAGCATTTAGAGGTTGGAGAAATGAGGGAAACCAGCAAAACAAAACAAAAACAACAAACTACCAAGTGGCCAGTGACACAGGAGGAAACCCAGAGATACTGCACAAAGGTTTCAAGAAAATGATCATTTTCCAGAAACAAAAGATTCACTGGTCAAAAGCATGCACATCCTGTTCCCTTACAGAATACATATATGGGCTATTTGGACTACCGGAAGAAGGCCATCAAGGACCTCGGCATCAGCCCCAGCACCTGCTCTTTCAATCCTGGTGTGATTGTTGCCAACATGACAGAATGGAAGCACCAGCGCATCACCAAGCAATTGGAGAAATGGATGCAAAAGAATGTGGAGTACGTGAAGACTTCTCTACCATTTTTTGCATGCTTGGAAACAAAATCATTCAGTTAATTTTCCACGCGTAGTTCAAGGGTTAGAAATATTTCACAGTCATCTGAGGTCAGATTTTCTTACAGAGGCAATGTTAAGAAAGAAAAGGGGACAGTCAGTGAAAATCTTTCCTCAAAAGATATAAATCAGAGGAATCAAGATCCTGTGGAGTGAGGAGTCCCTGATTATACATTTTCCTAGTAAGCCGTTGAAAAATGTGACTTTTTTTCCACCCAACAATCTTCATTTATCTTAGTTGAGTTTCCCCTTCTAACATAGATTTCTTATTAAGGATTATTATATAAAATCAACTTTGCTTTTTAAGGTTGGTTTTTAAAATTTATATTTTTTCATTATCAGAGTTTTAAAATAGAGTCCCAGCTACTCGGGAGGCTGAGGCAGGAGAATGGCGTAAACCCGGCAGGCGGAGCTTGCAGTGAGCTGAGATCCGGCCACTGCACTCCAGCCTGGGTGACAGAGCGAGACTCCATCTCAAAAAAAAAAAAAAAAAAAAAAAAATAGAGATGATAAAAATAACTCTAATACAAGCACGATTATCACATCATTGTATTGCCTAGCAGTCTTGTGCATCTGGATATTTAAATACCATCATAACCTTGAATTTGCAAGTAAAGTTATTCTAAATAATGTAGGATTCGAATTTGATCTCCTGTGTCTACTATTTAAAACCCTGTGGGTTAAAATGGCAAAATATTAATACTGTTAGTCTAGGTGATGTATATTGGAGTTCATGATATTTTACTATTTTGTGTATGTTTGACAATTTTCAAAATGGAAGTTGGGGGAGAATGAAAGGCCGTGGTCTTAGTACATAGTGAGAGAATGTCTTACATCGTTTACAATATTAGATTCGACTTTATCTGAGTTTGTGGGGCCTCCAGGCCAAATGTTGTTTTTCTATTTCATTTCTTAGGGAAAACCTCTATAGCAGCTCCCTGGGAGGAGGGGTGGCCACCTCCCCAATGCTGATTGTGTTCCATGGGAAGTACTCCACAATTAACCCCCTGTGGCACATAAGGCACCTGGGTAAGTATTTTAGAAAAACGATTTAGAAAAACGCAAATGTCCATTTATTTTTTAATTTTTTTTATTTTTGAGACAGAGTCTCTCTCTGCCACCCAGGCTGGAATGCAATGGCACAATCTTGGCTCACTGGAACCTCTGCTTCCCGGGTTCAAGCAATTCACCGGCCTCAGCATCTCAAGTAGCTGGGATTACAGGCGTGTGCCACTACGCCCAGCTAATTTTTGTATTTTTAGTACTGATGGGGTTTCACCATGTTGGCCAGGCTGGTCTCAAACTCCTGCCCTCAGGTAATCCACCCATTTTGGCCTCGGAAAGTGCTGGGATTACGGCATGAGCCACCATGCCCGGCCGCAAATGTGCATTTTATAGATCCAGTGAGCACCATGGCGAGGAGAGGGTGCTACATACAGCACCAGGTTGTTCAGTTCAAATCCTCCAGGTGACCTTGGGCAAGTGACTAACCCTCAGCGCTCAGATTCTGCAAGTGCAGCTGATATTCTTAGCTACCTGCGGGGCGTGTTTCTGGAGATTTATGGAAAGCCATCAAACTCATGCTTAGCATATAGTATGTGCTCAGTAAACATTAACTGTTAAGAGAACTTTCGGCTGGGAGTGGTGGCTGACACTTGTAATTCCACCACTTTGGGAGGCCAAGGCGGGTGGATCACCTGAGGTCAGGAGTTCAAGACCAACCTGATCAACATGGTGAAAACTGTTTCTGCTAAAAATACAAAAATTCGCTGGGCATGGGGGCAGGCACCTGTAATCCCAGCTACTCAGGAGGCTGAGGCAGGAGAATCGCTTGAACCTGGAAGGTGGAGGTTGCAGTGAGCTAAGACAGCACCACTGCACTCCAACCTGGGTGACAGGAGTGAAAATCCATCTCAAACAAACAAACAAACAAAAAAAAGAGACAGAAAGAAAACTTTCACTGCCAAAACTTCAAAACTTTATGGAACCGTCAAGCCACACTTTTATTTTCTCTTGCAGTAACTTACAGTGGACAAAACCAAATAAATTAGCATAATGGCTTAGGATGAATTCAGAAAGCTGCCATTAAAATTTATCCTTTAAAAAGCAGTTGACTCTGTTCTCTGTGAGTTCCTTAAGTCTTTTATTCACTACACAAGTGTAGGGTTTTTGTATGAATTGGAATCCCAACTATGATTTTGGGTAAGTTACTGAATACATATAAATGGCTTAGCGTAAAGCCTAGCATAGAGGACACATTCACATCCACCCTAACACATGCCACCATCCCTTATCCAAAACCCCTGGGCCAGACCTGTTTAGAAGTTTAGAAAGGGTTTGGATTTTTAAAAGGTAATGTGGTGCTGAGTAGGATCTAGGTTTTACTGCCAAAGAAGTTATTAAAAAACCTTTTCTCTTCAGACCTTTGGGGATTATTTTAGAATTGGAGGCAATGGATATGGACTTATATTTACCAAGTGTCCATTACATTGCTAAGAACTGGACTAGGTTCTGTTAAGGAAGGTGAATATTATTTCTAATTCTCACAACAACCCTGCAAGGTGTTATGTCCCATAATCTTTTTTTTTTTTTTTTTTTTTAAAAAGGATATAATTGTGGAGGCTGAGTTCCTGTTTGCTCTCGATAATTCTGTGGATTGCTTTTGCATTATTACCAGAATCTTCTGATTTTCCTGAGCATGTGTATGCACAAGAGTGCCATAGGGAAGTTAGTGTTCTGTCTGATTTGAGTCATGTTGGGTTCAACATTAGGTGAAATATCAACCTTTCCATGTGCAGATCCCATCAAAGTAGAAGGTCTATTTTTAAAAATGTGTAGGAACAGTTATGCAGAGCTTAGATCAATAAGGTTGTAGCATTTTATGATCTTGAGACAGAAACTCAGAATTACATTTTATGAAACATCCAACTTAGACCAGGCACGATGGCTCATGCCTGTAATCCCAGTACTTTGGGAGGCCGAAGCGGGTAGATCACTTGAGGTCAGGAGTTCAAGACCAGCCTGGCCAACATGGTGCAACCACATCTCTCCTAAAAATACAAAAAATTAGCTGGGCATGGTGGCACACGCCTATAATCCCAGTTATTTGGGAGGCTGAGGCAGAAGAATAGCCTAAACCTGGGAGGCAGAGATTGAAGTGAGCAGAAATCATGCCACTGTACTTCAGTCTGGGTGACAGAGCTAGACTCCATCTCAAAAGAAAAAAAAAGAAAAGAAAAAAAAAAAAAAGAAAAGAGAGAAATATCCAACTTACTGACAAGTAGGAAGGGACATATTCTTCCCCAAGGAAAGATGTCATTTTTCTTTGTAGAACAGAGCTTCCATCTGTGCTGAAGGTTTTGGAATCAGGGATGGTGTGCAAAGTAAATCTACACAAAAATCATTTGAAAAATGAGGTTTTAGGGTGTTCTGGAGGTAAAAGGGCAACATAACACTAATGGGCATTAAGTTTGGGTCTGAACAGGCAGGCTTAATATTTGTTAAATTTACAAAATATATTTAGCTAAAAGCAATTTCATCACCCAAACTGCAAGCCCCTCTGAGGTAGTTCTGCATAGCCCTTCAGTTACGAAGCTGAGAGATGAGGATGCCCTTAGTAGAGACTTTTCACGGGAAGGTGCCTCTTCCCAAATGAATATTTCCTTTGTATAGAGTCTGATGATTGATAATTATTCCAATTATGCTGCGATAGCTTCAAACAACTAGTTTCTCTTCTGCAGCTGCCATCACAGCTATGTTTATTAGTAACAAAAGCCAGGTTGTGTTGTTGTTAACGTCATACACTAGAATAACATAACCCTAGCAAATCAACCCTCTCATAATTCAATGGACTTTCAGCTGTTTAAATAATATATATATCAAATTCCTTTTCATGGAAAGTTGAACGCTATAGAGATTTTTTTTAAATTTTACATTCACACCACCTTAATGTAGTTCTAGAATAGGCATTCTAAAAAATATTCTAAGCAATGACACTGTTAGGGTAAATGCATAGTCTCTTGAAGTGATGACTTATGAGGGGAGTAATATTCAGGTGGAGATAGCTGTTTAAAAAGTAGACCTTAGTCACATTTTACATGAAGACAAGACTGTTCAAAAGAAAATGTTGCCATTTTTCATTAAGGAGGTGAAATGCAGAGAAAAAAGAACCCCTATAAACTCTTGGGTGGGAGGAAAATTAATAGAACTTTTTCGGGGACAATGTGGCAATCTCTATCAAAACTGAAAAGGCACACACCCTTCAATCTAGCCATTCCACCTACAATATTTTATCCCACAGATATATTTGTACACATAGACTAGACATACACAGAGGGGTGTTCATTGCTGTGTTTATGCTAATGATAGGATAGAAACAATCTAAATGTCCTTAATAAGGAACTTGGTCAATAAATAATTATCTATCATTCTATACAGTCACTAAAAATAATTTGGTAAATCCACATGTACTGCTGTGGAAAGTTTTCCAAGACAGTAATTTTAAAAGGCAATGTCCAAATAAAGAAATAAAATAATTTTGTTTTTTAAAGGCAAGGTAGCAGTATGCTTATCTTCTGTCTTTAAATATACATATACATGCATACAGGTCAAACAATGCTATAGCTTTACTAGAAGGATTCACAAGAGACTAACAACGGTTAATTTGGAGACATGGGGTGGGTAGAAAATTCACTGTATAGCCCTTTTGTTTACCTTTTTTTAAACTATGAACTTGTATTCAATTTATAATACAAAAATGTTATTCTCTAACAAGCCTATTATTTTTTCTTTAAACACAATGAAGGCTGGAATCCAGATGCCAGATATTCAGAGCATTTTCTGCAGGAAGCTAAATTACTCCACTGGAATGGAAGACATAAACCTTGGGACTTCCCTAGTGTTCACAACGACTTATGGGAAAGCTGGTTTGTTCCTGACCCTGCAGGGATATTTAAACTCAATCACCATAGCTGATATAACTCTACCCTTAAAATACTGCCTGTCTAGAAATGTGGAATTATCTCTTTGTAGCCAACTATAACATTGTTCTTTATGAACATTACCTTTGATACAGATGAGCCACAATATAAAAACCAAAAACTACTGTGTGCAAATTATACCTTGGACCATACAGGCATTGACTGACTTCTTTAAGTACATGTGTTAACTATGGAAATCGAGATTATGTGACTGAAAAACATAAAGGAACAGACCCATCTAGATACCAGTAATCAATCTGCTTAATTCTGAATAACAATTATGTCCACAAATTTTTAAAACTTCTAAATGTATTTTTCACATGTAGACCTTTTTAACAGGTTGCCAATCTTTTCTTTTATAAAACCATTGCATTTAAAATATGGATGTCTGAAAAATAAAATATTCATCATTTTTATGACTTTTATCATGTTATTATTCTACATGTTAAATATAATAGAAGGTAAACTGACCTCAGGTTTAAAGGGGAAAGAATACCACTCAGTTTTGCTAAAGAAAAAGCCCATAACTTAAGGATAACAATTCTTAATATATTTTATTGTAAAAGCCATCAGACTTTCAAATGAATTTTAAAATCTTTCAATATTATTTAATGAAAAAGTCTCATACTGTCATGTACAGGATATATCAACATTTACTACTCATCTGTCATGTTAGGAAAAACATCATTATTGTATGCTTGGAAAATCCTCAAACCCATCTCTAGTGGATGTCTGTCATAATTTAAAGGGTATTTTCCCCATTCAAATAAAACAATCTATTGTAAAGCTACAATAGTTATATACCAAAGCAATACCTAGTTACATGCTTTACACAGTCCCGTGAAAAAATAATTTAATTGCTCCTAATCCCTGATGCAAGGCACTTCAAAGCACCCGCACAAAACGTCCATGTAAACAGCAGTACAGTATATCATTTAAATAACATAAATGACTTTTACACAGCTTGACCTAGACTTAAGGAAAAATAAAATCCATCACAGCCACAGCTAAAAAGCATGTTAAGATTCACAACAAGAATTTGTTTCTCTCATAGAGAAGAGTAATCATATAACCTCCTGGGGGTGGGGGAGACCTCCTAAATATTTTATATTGATTGACAAAACAGCATGCTCCCTGGGTATGTATGAAATCAGAATATTCAGGAGTGACTGAGAGGATGCAAATGGCATTTCTTAGTACCCAGCTTTAGTATCTACCAGACCTAGTAGTCTGGATTATTTGTAGCACCATGGAAAACTCATTAGAAAATCACAAAAGTATATACCTCAACCTTTCCATGAGGTTCATTTAATTCATAGTAACAAACAGCAATGATGCAGATAAAGAATCTTTAAAATTATTGGCTTACTGGATTTACCTAGCAAGAAAAATTCTATATTACTTATTTTAGTACATCTCATGTACATAAAGCACCAGTTTAAGTGAGATTATGAAGTATTTCCAGCATCTTTTTGCTTAGCCTAAAAGTTCATTTTTTATCACTTTCCATGGCACATTCTTAAAGCCAAGGAAGATAAAACTAGAATGGTGATAAATATGAATGGAGAAATACAGTTCCTTCCCTATCATATTTATGTGTCTCAAGTAAAACACAGACGAGTGGCAAATGGTCTACTGCATTCTCTGGAACCTGCCACCCCAGAGTAGTTACTGGCTACTAGAGGATTAACACACAGGGCTGAGCAGGTCAAAGCCAGGGCTCTGTCAGGTAAGGGCCAGTTTTTACTACCGAGCAACTCACAAACACCACTGGTAAAGCAAAGAGGTCTGAGTGTGCATATAACTCAGGGAACCCTGAGTTTACCCTTAGTTACCACTAAAAACTAACGAATGAGACTCCACTGAGGCTTAACTTCATATACAAAAATCAACACATTTGCCTCTTTGACAGTGGTAATTATTATTAGCATGCCCTGCTTAGGTATAAAAGGGATGATGGTATATCTAGGTTTATGCACAGTTAAGAATCAACTATAAATATTCAGACTTGTATTTTAAAATTACAGATCACAAGTGACTCCCAAAAGAAAATCAATTTCTTCATAAATGAAATATAGTATATAAAAAGCTGGAATGATGATTAATTCAAATACAAAAGCTAGTATACAAAAACCCTACTTTTTCTTCCAAACTACTTAGGTTCATAAGGTTCATACTACCACACAACTGTTCTACATTACAATTACACCACTAGAGTAAAATACTAATAAAACAGTTCAGTTAGCAAACTGAGGTTCTACTTGTTGACAACTGCATTAAAACTGCAGCATTTAAGCAGAGCTGAGAAGCACCATTCTTAAGCATGACTTTCTTCTTCCTGTTCTTGTGTTCCACAGTGATTATTAAAGGAAGGAATCTGGTCTGTAAATGACTGGGTCATCCACTGCCCATTAGGAATGCCACTGAAAGTTGATTCTCCTCTTAACTCCACACTGTCAACTGCCAGAAAGACAAAGTTAGTTTATGCCATTTAGAAATTTTTGCTTTTTTTAAAATAGAGACTGGGTCTCACTCTGTCGCCCCCAGGTTGGAATGTAGTGGCACGATGACAGCTCTTTGCAGCCTCAAACTCCTGGGCTTGAGTGATCCTCCCATCTTAGCCTCTCAAAGCACTGGGATTACAGGGGTGAGCCACCACATCAGCCTCTTTGGAAGTTTTTTTTTCTTTTTGAGACGGTGTCTCACTCTGTCACCCAGGCTGGAGTGCAGTGTGGTGATTTTGGCTCACTACGGCCTCTGCCTCCCGGGTTCGAGTGATTCTCCTGCTTCAGCCTCCCAAGTAGGTAGGATTACAGGTGCCTGCCACCATGCCCAGCTAATTTTTGTATATTTTAGTAGAGACAGGGTTTCACCATGTTGGCCAGGCTGGCCTCGAACTCCTGACCTCAAATGATCCACCCACCTCAGCCTCTCAAAGTGCTGGGATTACAGGTGTGAACCACCATGCCTGACCTGGAAGTTTTAAATGATCAAAGTAGGAGATTTTAAGTCTAGTGAAGAAGAATTATTATTAAAATAGTTAAGCAAGCTTCCTGAATACAATTATAAGTTTCTGTTCTATTTTTCAGATACAGGACTCATTTGTTATTAATCCTCATTTGTTATTAAAGGAGGAAAATGCAACTAGGATGGCCAAGAGTTCATGACTTAAAGAAAATGCACTGTAGGCCAGGCACCACTGTAGGCAAGGCACAGTGGCTCACGCCTGTAATCCCAGCACTTTGGGAGGCTGAGGCGGGGTGGATCACGAGGTCAGGAGAGCGAGACCATCCTGGCTAACACGGTGAAACCCTGTCTCTACTAAAAATACAAACAAAAATTAGCTGGGCATGGTGGCGGGCGCCTGTAGTCCCAGCTACTCGGGAAGTTGAGGCAGGAGAATGGTGTGAACCCGGGAGGCGGAGTTTGTAGTGAGCTGAGATGGCGCCACTGTACTCCAGCCTGGGTGACAGAGCGAGACTCCATCTCAAAAACAAACAAACAGAAAATGCACTGTAAAAGTCTGTGTAATTCAATGTGAAATAACCATCAATTTTTCACTATTAGTCACTAAATGAAATTTCATATTTCCATTCCCATTCTTCAGTCATTTACTCTCCTTCTATTAAAATCCTCCCCCCAATCCTGGCAAAACCGTCTTTGAAAGGAATACACATGTGGAGGTAAACATACTTAGCCCATTTGAAGAGAAGCCACAAGGTTCACCGTTGCATGGATTTTCTCTGTAAGCACCACCATATGCTGCCTCATAACCTGGATCATATTTTTCTTCCTTAACAGCCATCTTCTTTGCATCCTCTGTGAGGAGGGTAAAAAAGATTTAAAACTGATTTTGTACAACAATTTTGAAACTAGTTTTATTCAGAAATCATGAACAATTATTTTTCTTGAATGTTCACATATACTGAGATACGTCTCTATTAATCTTTGAAACATAGCATATACTAAATAAATACATAAGAATTGTAAAACCTCTTATATTCATTAGGTAGGGTACAATATTTCTTACATCCCTCTGCTCTGGCACTCTGAAGGTGAATTATCTGTAGGAGTGCCAGAGTAGAGGGAAGACCTTGGTAAAAGGAGATTTTAACAGTGACTAATACTCATTATCAGAGCACTCTGGCTGCAAATATAATTATTTTCTTTTCTCCTGCTTTTAAATCCACAACATTCTGTAATACGTGTGTGTGTGTGTGTGTGTGTGTATCCATTATCAGAGTGTGTGTGATAATATCCATGTGTATGTGATAATCATCCATTATCAGAGCACTGTGGCTACAAATATAATTGTTTTCTTTTCTCCTGCTTTTAAATCCACAACCTACTTTCTGTAATATGTGTGTGTGTGTGTATATATATATATAGACACAAAATGAATAAAAGGAATGAGGATAGTAACGTACCTTGGGCAAGCTGTAGGTCAAATGTATACTGCACCTCTTGAACATCCATATTTCGTTCAATGCCTTTCAACTGATCTCTTAAGTCCTTCAGTTTTATGTAGTAATGAACTTTGTCTTGGGCTCGAGGAAACTGAGCACATCTTGCACTGGATGATGGCATAACATAGCAGAGCTAGAACCACAACATTTTATAATTTCAGAAATCTTAAAATTCTATTGAATTCACTCATATTGAGATTAGAGTATTTGTCTTTATTTGGGTTAATAACTTGATACTTAACTACATATAAATATATGTAAAAATCAATCAAAGTAGTTGCGTTTAAGTTTGAATTTATAATACTGACTTATTACCAAGTCAGTAAGTAAAAAATAATGAGCCTCCTCCTAATAAGCTGCCTCCTGGGTTCAAGCGATTCTCCTGCCTCAGCCTCCTACATAGCCGGGATTACAGCGCACGCCACCATGCCTGGCTAATTTTTGTATTTTTTAGTGGAGATGGGGTTTCACCATGTTGGCCAGGCTGGTCTCAAACTCCTGACCTCAGGTGATCCGCCTGCCTTGGCCTCCCAAAGTGCTGGGATTACAGGCGTGAGCCACCACACCCAGCCTCCAAATGGCATGTAACAGAGAATGATACAGTACTCTACAGGAAGTACTGAACTTGTACAATTTTAACCAAGTAGACAAAGGTGGGCCTTCATTTAAGCAAAAACCGGTGCCATAATAAAAGTCATCAATTGCACATTTATAAGAAGTTATAAACAAAA